GTATATGTGTATGTGTATATGCAAGTTCATGTATTTATGACGACTGCAATGCCCGTGCGCGCCGCGCCGCGTGCGGCCGCGTCATCGCCGCCGCCGCGCAACTGCTCCTCATCGCGCCCGGGAAAATGTCCCTTGGCTGCCGCCTCGCAGAACGGCACGACCCGGGTGCGCCCCTGTATCGTCAGCGCGCGGGCTGAGCGCTCGCTCGAGGGCTGTGGCGCCGGGGCCTCGGCACGCCCTGCCCACCTGTGCGCCCACTCTCCGCTGCAGCCACTTAAACTGCAGGTTCGGGCTTTTCTGGGGGGAGAGCGGCGGGGCGGCGGCGCGGGCGGGGCGAGCTCGGAGGTGTTTCAAGCTCCACTCGCAGCAGCGGGTGCGCCAGGGCGGCAAAACCCCGCGGCCCTCTCAGCCGAGCACCTGCCTGCGCAGTTGCGTGGGGGCCTAAAAAGCGGCGAGATCCAGCCGGCAGGCGGAAAGGCGGGTGGCGGGTCACCCGGAGCTGGCTGAGCGCCGGAGCCTGTTGCGCGTGACAGCCCCTTGCTGTCGGGCGGGCGGCCCGCGCGAGCGGGTGCGTGCGCGTGGGTGTGGGCAGGTGCCGGGCGGCCCCACCTTTGTCGCGGTGGCCATGATGAAGCAGCCGAAGATGATGCTGAAGCCCACCATCAGCAGGGGGCCCGTGTACTGCGTTGGCGGGTGCAGAGGCGCGTGGGCTTGCTCACAGGGGTGCTGACGCGGGTCGTTACAGACTGATCAGGTCTGCGGTTGTGCTGTGCGGGCCCACTGGGTGTGCAAGGTGGTGCGCACAGGGCATGGTGTGCGCACACCCCGCGCATGCTGCTGTCTTGCGTTAAACACGGCACCTGCAGCCAGCAACTGCCGCGGCAGCGGGAGCAGCAGCAGCGGGCGCATAGTGCATCAGGCCGCCGCCACTTACAACGCGCCCGCCGCCAACGTGGCCGCCGAACGTCTCTTCTGCGTAGTACTCTTCTGAAAAGTCCCCCTTGCGCGACATAGCTGTTCTCAAAAACCTCGCGAAGCTGAGCCCTTCAGACAAGCTGATCAACGCCGCAGCTGGCCCGGGCAGCGTGAGCAGTTCAAAGATATGAAGACATCTATCAATTGATCTACCACGACACCAGCTTGTGCGCACGCCGGTCTGTGCTGAGCATCATGATCTTTTGACAGTGCATCGCCGTCAATGCTGGCCGGTACTGGGGCAGACGCAACCGCAAGATTGCTGGGAACACCCTAGTACGATACATTACCGGTATCTGGTTTGCAATCATAGATCCCTACTCAAGCAGGTACTGGCCTGCTGGGTGTCAAGTCGACAACGCACAGTAGTGGCCTGGTGGTCTGTCTGACTCTCACTCTGGCTTTGACCAACTTGGGGAGCGAGGCTGCGCAGGTAGCAAGGGCGGAAAGCCTCCAATCCTGGGGGATGTCATACCCAAATCCATGCACAGCCCCCCTGCAAATTTCCCAGGCTTTCTCGCAGTAAACTTTCGAAATGAGGCCGGTGCACACGCACCGGACCCTTGCATTTTGGGGCAGACACTCGCACCTGCACAGCAGCGCCTCTCAGCGACAACCGGCTGGTACAGGTGGCGGGACAGGGCTTGAACAGCAGAGGCGACACGATAAGTTTGTGTGGGTGGCATGAATGCTTACACGTGCCCATCCATGCAAATCACACGTGCACGACTGGTTGACTGCCCAGCACCTTGCCACTCAATAGCTCAAGTCTGCAACCAACGGGCCAATATATGTAACATACGTCAGTGCGAGACGTGGCGGGGCGGCGGTCACGAGTCAGTGCTGGAGGGGTGAAAGGGGGTCACAGGGGCTGCTGGCGCCGCGCGCGCGCGCGCGCTTGCGCAGATCACAGACTTTGTCGGCGACATGAGTGCGCTCGCGGTTCATATGCCTTCACTGGTTCGCATTTGAAGCTCTACCTCACGGGGCGAAGGAGGCCTGGGTGGGTAACAGCAAACGGCTGGAGAGGCAGAGATGTCCCGGACTTAAAAAAGCATATGGGCATGCGCTCCGCGCGGTCGGCCAAGCAAAGGCAGGCTGATAGGGCGAGCGCGCTGCGCGCCCGCTGGGCTGGGCCCTCGCCGTTTGACCGCAAAAGGGGAGACCATCCCAGGGCCTGGGAGGCTCTTAAGATTGAGAATAGGGACTGGAGGCCCGGCAAGGAGAAACATGGGTTTGCGGCGGAGGCTAGAGACTACATAGTGCGACCTATGCCTTCTTGCCTGCCTGCCTGCTTGTTGTCTGCTGCCGACGAACACGCACGCGCCAGGCATAGCCGCTGGCCGCAGCACAAAAGCGCGATAAGGAAACAAATGATAGATAGCGCCGGCTGGATCACGGGGCGAAACCCCCAAAGGATCGCATCATACCGCCAAACACACGGAAACACGCATATGTGTACGCGCCAACCCGCCAGAAGCACGCTCGCCTGCGCAGGAGGCTGGAGCCACAGTAGTGCCGAGCCCGCGCACAGGCAACCCCGGCCTCGAAACTGGGGCTGGCGGCAAGGCAGGGGCTGCACCAGCTCACCCAAACCCATCAGGGGAAGGGGTGCAGGGACCCCGCAGCGGGGCGCACCCATACACCACACCCAGCCAAAACGACTGCGCCCGCAGACTCGACGGCTCCGCGGTGTCTCCCCAACCAGACCAGATCAGATTTGAGCAGATCTCGGATCACGAGGCGGACTCTGCGGCCATCTCCTGGACGGCCGCCCTCGCCGCGTCCGCGTTGTTCTCCGCGCAGCACCGCCGCAGGAACTGGTACGACATTGACAAAAAGTGCGCCACGGGGCCCGGGTCGGCGAGCTGCGCGTTGAGCGCCCTGAACACTTTTGAGCGCGTAGTGCTGTCCAGGTCGAGGGTTTTCAGCAGGGAGAGGACGCCGTTGAAGGCGAGGCTCTTGGCCTTGGGGTCTGTGGCTTCCACGGGCTTCATGTCAATGTCCGGGAGCATTGGCAGCTGCGCCCGCCCAGCCGCGGCCACGGCCGCCGCGGCGCCGAGCGCACCGCCGCCGGTGCTGCCGCTCGCCGCCGCGCATGGCGCGTCGTTGGCCGAGGCTGCGGCGTGGTGAGGCGGCGGAGGTGGTTGCGGCTGCGGGGGCAGTGGAGACGGCAGCGGCTGCGGGACCAGGCGGCCGGGGACGCACGGGTGCGGTGAGGCGGGGCGCGACGGCACTTTCCCCAGCGTCATGTGTTGAGGGTCAATGCCATTGGGTCAAACAATTCATTAGAACCTTCCCTATGCCCTGCGCACCCTTCTTGCTTATGGCGTAGCGGGGCCGCCCAATGNCGCAACGCTGTGCTACGCTACATCGCGCAGCCGAGGCAGGCCGTGGGGTGGGGTGGTTGCTGACCATGGGTGAGGCGATAGCACGCGGTGCACGTGGCAGTGAACGAAGTGTGAGCGGACTGGAACCCCGTTTGTTCTTTTGATTGTCGCTGCTTGGGCAGAGTGCTCCCCGGCTGCAAAAGAATGGCCACCAACAGATCTGCGGCGCGGGACAGCATAAAAGTTGCAAAGAAATCGAAATCTTTCACTTTACGGCATCTGTTTTTGCGGCTCGCTCACGGCTGTGCCCTCTCATCATGGGAGCAGCAACCNAACGAGGATGGCTCGCGTCCTGTGCGTTCGCCATGTTTGCACACCTGCTCGTTCACAAATTGACAACGTCGAAAAGTCGCAATTTCCAAGAATAACATAATCACGTGCGAGCCTGCCATCGCGCTGTCCTTAGATCGATCTGCCCTTGTTCCCTCGTCCACAGCGAGAGCCAGCTCGGCCTCGCGCTCACCACCGCGTGGAATCCATTCCAGAGACATCATCAACGACATGGCCTGCAGCCACTGGCGTCTTGCGGGAGGTGCGGCGCGCGTGGGGGCTGACCCCTCACAGCGGCAGGCGCGACTGCACGAGGCACGCTTGGCAGAGCAGAGCGCCGCACGATGCCCTGCCTGCTGCACTGCTGACGCTCTTGCTTCGACAGAGCAGAGGGCCGCACGACACCCTGTCTGCTGTACTGCTGACGACCTTCCTGATGTGATTGTCCTGTCCTCTTGCTGCAAGCCGCACGCACAGCACA